TGACACGTCGTTTACACTTGTTTAAAAATATAAGTAGAAGTGGCTCTTGATGCCTGAGAGGAGCTAACCCAGGAATTATAGTTACCATACGATCGAGAGAATGAAAAGAACCTTCTTTGGAAACCATTTCCATCATTACATGAGTTTGATCCATTGAATATTTTTGTTGCTGCATCTATTTTGACTCGTAGTGATAGCGACCCTGTGGTCACTAGGGTGGAACTAACTCCCCTGTGGGTTTCGGGGCTGTACAGCTCTGCAGGGGCAGACAGCCTCATCTTTCTGCCAAAGAGCAGCTGGTGGTCTTGAACCACTAACGTGGTTAGCGGCACAATGTATAATCCACTAGCATACCAGAGCTTGCCCACTGTGAAGGCTAGAAGTACAAATTTGGGGCATCAGATTTAGAAAACTGGGGGAAAATCCTTGTCTCAATTTCTCTAGCCGGCCGTCCTTGGAAATCTTGGGTCTGTATATTGGTCGACTTCAGTCCAGATAACTGAGTCTTGCCCCTGCATTTCCTTCTATGCTGGTTCTGCTCTTCATATTGCAAAAATGATTGATTTAAAACATATCCAACACTTAAATGGCTTCATCAATATCAGTAAAACATGAATCCCAAGTGGGATTCCATCTGAAGGTATAAGAGTGAGGATTATTAATTTGTGAGAGACAGGATTCAGTCATAATAGCTAATATTTGTGTTTCTTGATTTGTACGTAGGTTTCACTGTCTTACCTGGAGACCGATGGAGCCTTGAGGTGGGACAGATGTATGTCATTACCATTGAAGTCTTCGATAAAAGCAGCACCAAGGCCTACAGTTCAGATGTGAGTCCCTCCTGCATTACAACTTGCACCTTAGGGATCTGTCCTTGTAGCTAGGAAGTCTTCTTGTGTCCAGGTGCTTTCGTGGGAAATGCAAGTTACTGCTTTTTAAAAATTATGATCATCAAGTAGTTCTATCCTTGAGGAATGCCCAAGCAGCAATAAAAAAACCACAGTTTAGGCGGAATTGTAGCGAGTTGTTGATATGAGCCCATGGGACCACACTTTGGAGGGGAGCTGACACTCATTCTAAGCCTCATACTTGAGGGATGCCCCCCAGGCTTGTGGTGGTGCTGGAGGTGATGATGCGTCTTGCTGGATGCGAGGTGCCGCACTCATTCTCCAAGGTCTCCCTCCCACACTAGCCGCCCCCTCCGAAAATTGTCAACTTGCAAAATGGCACACGTTACACTAAAATCTATATAAACGTTGACTCTGTCTACTCCTGATTGCTTGCCATTAATTGTTCTTTCTAAATCTAGGGCCGTTTTAAAATGGCATCTTCCCAGTTTAGGATTTCAATGAAAGAGAGCAAAGATTTTGTTTTATTTGTCTTACCCCCTCAATGCAGAGCCAACTTGTTTGTTTTTCTCCGCTGTCTTTCTCCCATATACTTTGTATATAGCTTTGGT